AAAAAAAAAAAAAAAAAATTGCCCCCATCAACGCGCGCGGGAAAGACTGGGACATGAACAAAAATTTTTCTCCTATAAATGTCTCTCTCTCCAAACGAAAACAATCCCAAATTCAAATTCTATCTCGAAACCCTAACGCCTAAGGGCATTGAGAAGAGAATGACGCTCACTGAAGAGCAAAGAAAACAAGCAGAAGCGAACAGATTAGCAGCAATAGAAAAGCTAAAGCGGAAAGCACTCTCGGAATCTACCTCCTCTGGCATTCTTTATCAACAAAATTACCATCAATGGAGGCTCTCCAAGTACCCCAGACTTGAAAATGATCGGACCCATTTCACCACAATCCCTCAAGATTCCTCATTCAATCCAGTTTCGACTACCCATTCCCAAGGAAAATTCCGGGTTTGGCTCGAAATCTGCTCACCGGACTCCTTCTCAGTGAGGCCCGATGTGCTGGAGGGGTTCCCTTATCCCGGTGATGAGGAGTGTTTCCGAAGATTGAACGATGTTTTGTCAAATGTAAGTTTAACATTAAGCTTTTATTTTTGAATGCTGGCAGGGCAGTGGAGGAAATTGACGGAAGTAAAGTTGGGGTTTTTAATTTTATCATTTAAGGGAGGATTTTGATGCAATAAGATTTGGAAAAGGGGATTTGAGTTTAATTGGGGAAGAACAGAAGCGAGTGAAGGGAATAACAGGGGAATAGGGGGTGAAGAGGAAGAAGATAGAGGAGAATGCGATCTTAGCGTCGGATATATTCCTTTTCTTCTTCTTCTTCTTCTTCTTTTTGATATCCTTCATATGCAGAATTTGAGAAAAAGAAAACCATTTTGAAACTAAGCAAATTCGCAGCTTTTCCTATAATTATTAAGATATTTGCTCCTACTTTACTTTATCCTTCAGGAATTCACTATTTGAATTTTAGATTCAACTTAAATGAGTTTTGAAACTCAATCGCTCACTTGTTTATTTCTTTTTTCTGCTACCTTTCAAACACTTCTATAAATTGCTTTTTGAATGAAAATCTTCTTTTGATTTTGTAAGCAATCAACAAAAGGAGTTAAGTTATCAGGGTCCTTTCCTAGCATGATTTTATGTATCCTTGAAATTTTCGGCAGCTAACTTTTGGTTTGCAGTCTAAACTCATGCAAAGAGATAAGTCAAAACTTGATTATATGAACATCAAGAAAAGGAAAAAAAAACTTGATTTTATCATGGCATATTCTGCTCTGAGTTTCACAGTTACAATTTTCATTAGGTTGTGCCATCACACTACACCCAAAACCATGAAGGTGGAAAGGCTGGTGTGTACAAGCTCATGGATTATGATGCAGTTAATTCATGTTTACAGAAATCTAAATGCATTCAAATTGAAAATATACCCCACACAACAATCAGAGTTGTTGAGAAACTCTCCCATTCCTTTGTTTCCAGAAGATGGGAACCATGTCGACCAGAACATTTATGTGATGACCTTGTTGACGAACTGATTGGAAGGCTGCCCATATTTCTATTTGATGCACTTTTGCCTTTCCAACTTGATGGTGTGAGATTTGGTTTGCGAAGGGGTGGTCGTTGTCTTATTGCAGATGAAATGGGGCTTGGAAAAACGCTCCAGGTAAGTTTTCAATAGTGCATTCTATTTGCTTTTACTTGTATAGATTGAATAATGGCTATAATTGCATCCGGGTAACCTTGCATTGCTGATGATATATTTCCAGCATCTATTTTTTGCCCCTTCAATTTTCCCATGCTGTTGCTTGAATTGTTTAGAGAGTGTCCATGCCTGTAAGCATCCAAGGACATCATTATTTTTTTTTTTAATACCAAATAACCATTTCCATTAAGCAATTCTTTTTATCACAATCTAGTGAGCCTCAAATGTGTAACTTTTCAAGTTTTAACCTCTTAAAATGAAATATAATATATTAAAGAATATTCTAAGAGAATAATGTATCTGAACCTGGACTTCAAACAAGGCAGTCAAATGGAAGCGCCAGGGTAAGAGAATGATTGCTATTACATACACAATCCAAGATTGGGGTTGGATTCAATCCTAAGATGTTTCAAAATTTCTAAATTGACACGTGTTCATGATAGGAGCCATTTTTTGGTCTAATGTAAAAGTCCTGAAGTTATGAGTGTGAGAAGCATGGATTATGTCTTCAGACCAAACATTTTAGTAAAATGCTAAAAGTGGGAAGCTTTGATCCCTTACAAGACCCACCTCAGATCCACCAATAATTGTGTAATGGCATTGTATGCAAAGATTGTTATAAGTGCATTGGCTTTGAGGGTACACACTAACAGAAAATGCTTCATAAAATGTGAGATCGATCTTAGCAAACTATATAAACAACCAACTTTCTTATTTGATTTAATAGATAATAAATATATTTCTATCAGTGGTATGTATCTTTTTGTTTTCAACATTCAATTTTTGTGACTAGGGACTAGGACAAATAATGCTAATTGTTGTTATGATTAATATTTGTAGATGGTTTCACTTCCCACAGTCTGAATGTTTCTTACAAGATAAGATGTCATGAAAGGCTTTTCATTTACGTACTTGGCTTGTTTCAGGCAATTGCCATTGCAGGCTGTTTCATGAATGAGGGTTCAATACTTGTTGTCTGCCCAGCTATTTTGCGTTATTCTTGGGCTGAAGAGTTGGAGCGATGGCTTCCCTCTTGTTTACCGTCTGACATCCATCTTGGTAATATTGGCAATATTGGCTTAAGTTTACTTTCCCTTTCTTTCTTTCATTTTTCATTTTTTCATTTTTTTATACTCTCCTTCTATGGTTAGGGCATGTTGGTGAGGAGGATGAAAATAAAAGATTACTATTTTCATTATGACGATTCATTATTACCAGCCCTAAAACTTGTTTGACTGCTTTTCTCTACTAACTAGATGTTCATCACTTAAATCTAGGATGCTAAATGAGTTTTTGTGTTCTTATGGATGGAAATCAAATAATTAGATTCTACAAAGAGCAAAATGCAATAAAAGAAAGAAAAAGCAGGTTAACTATAATATGCCAGCCTTTTTATATGGTATTCTTAAATGTGGATATGAAAGTCAGTATTTGTTCACAAAAACTAAGAAGAGGAACATCTAGTCATAATAAAATACAGCTTTTTCTAACCTGCACAAGTTAAGGGCGCCTTTTTAACATTAATTGTTATTAAAATAAAAGTTTACCTTTATTTAATCAACAGTCTAATTAAAATGATCCACATAGCATTGGTAATAAAATTAATGTCAGCTTTTGTCATTTTCAATATAAATTAATGACAAAAAGGTGTATTAATTACACCCTTAACATGTGCCCTAAGGGCACAATTTAGAAAAATTCATAAAATACAAACTAATTTTTTTTTTTACTTAAATTGTTTGTTGTCTGTCCTAATTAGCCAAGTCTATCTGATTGGCCAAGTCTATCTTTTGCATGCTGCTTTTACCACATAAGAAGCCATCAATTTATTTAATACTGTTTATTTTCTAAATATCTATTGAGAGAATATATAATAGTATTTTATTTGTAATAGAGGTGGAGAGGGAATGAGGGATTGGTAATTCCATTTAGATAATATGATTTACTCTTTAACAGGTTATATGACTTTTTTATTCTAAAAAATGAAAGAAAAGGTTGTATTTCATTCATTTTATTTAGTGGTTATGCTTTTATTTTGTACTATCTGCTACCTTCTCATGCATTTAATGATTCATGACACCACGCTCTTTCATGGAATCACCAAATATTTCTCTGTTACTGCTCTTTATGTTTGTGGAGAATGGGATATTTTCACTATTATTTCCATTTATTCTTGTGTTCAAGTATGAAATATTCTATTGTGGTCCTTTATTATTCAGTTTTTGGGCATCGAGATAATCCTGCATACTTGAAGAGATGCCCAAGAGTTGTGGTTATTTCCTATACAATGCTTAGCCGCTTACGAAAGACCATGCTTGAGCAAAATTGGGCTGTTTTGATAGTTGATGAATCTCACCATCTTCGATGCTCAAAAAAGCCATCAGAACCAGATGAGGTAGAAATGTCTCTCTATTGTCGGTGATTTGAAAAATGCTCTAGGGATAAAGATTTTTTTTCCTACATCTCATAACAAAATTGATAGTGAGATCTTTACAAGTGTTTGATTCAGAGATGCCCATAATAACTTATGCAGTTTGGATTATATAAGTTGTATCATTAGTCTGTTTTCCAACCCATAATAGCTTAAGTAGTCTGTTGTCCTTTGATTGTGAATAACCTTTTCTGAATGTTGTCGTTTTTGTGTGTTATTAGATACAATCAGTGCTGGATGTGGCCAGGAAGATCAATCATATCGTTTTATTATCTGGAACACCCTCTTTGTCAAGGTTGTGGCATTGGACTATGAAGCAGAAAAGCAACATTTCATTCTTATTTTATATTACATCTAGAATGAATAATGTTTATATTCTATTCTAGCTAAGCTTCTCTCTTAGCTTTATTATGTTATAGTTTGGTTTTACTTCTGAAAAGTTTATATTGCCTTCTAATATATTACTTCACATACTTTGCGAGGGGATAATAGGCCATATGACATTTTTCATCAGATAAATATGTTATGGTAAGGTTTCATGAAACTTTTGTTCCCTGCTGTTTCACTGGGTCTATTAGAATCATTGACAATACTTCTCTCTTATAGGCCTGGATTGTTGGGAAAGGACAAGTATAAATTTGCAAATACGTACTGTGCTGTCAACATGGTCCAAAATACTCCTGGTTTTAAGGTAACATTTATGGTAGCCTTGGCAAAGCTCTTTATGGTTGCTTGCAACTTTGTTATATATGGCTAGTGCTTAGGTTGGTGTTGCTCTGGAATTTTCTAAAGATAGTGCCAGGGAGTACATTTGTTGATACTTTTTGATTCATCTTTTCTTCTTTGCTATAACATAAGCTATCATATCTATTCTTTTCTCTTCAGTGCAGAAGGTTTATAAAGCATTTGATGGGATTTTTGCTGCAGGATTTCTCAAAGGGTGTCCGCTTGGAGGAGTTGAATGTTTTGCTTAAGCAAACTGTTATGGTATGATCTGGTTCCCAATGCGCTGGACTTTGCTGTTTTACTGCTATCAGATGAGAGGAAAAGTGGCAATATATTGCATTGTCATTTTGAGCTGTCCTATTTTATTATTTATTCTAGATACAACAGTTTCAGAAACTAATAACTTAAGAATTTTCAATTTGATAATCACCATAAGTTATTTTACTGAAGCAATGTGTGTGCTTTGTCTTCAATGTAAAAAATTGAAAATATTCATATTCTTACACCATCCATCCTAATTGTTGGAAAGGGAATGGCCACCTAAATTAGCAACTTCTATGGTTTTCATTTTTTCTATGTCAGTGTTCATACCATTTTAAATGCATATTTCTGTATGAAATTCCATTTATGCTGAAACTATGATTGTATGTGATTGAATTATTAATTAAAGAAGAATTATAGAAGTTAAGCTATGTTGTTTGGTTTTGGGATGCCAGATGGAGATGAGGGCATTTTTTCTCAATTCCATGGTTCATGGGCCTCTTGTCTTTGTTTGAAATCATCAGAGTAGTATTAAGTTAGCATGATTTATTTTCGTTCTTTGGGTTCCTTTGTAATTTGAAGCATTGTCTCATCTTTAAATGTTTGTCTGTTTTTAGATAAGACGTTTGAAGGAGCAAGTGCTGGTTCAGTTACCTCCTAAACGTCGCCAAATTATAAGATTGCTGTTGAAGCGATCAGATATAGCTTCAGCTAAGGCTTCTATCAGTCTGATCAGTGCTGATGCCTCTGAAAATAATGCTGCCCAAGCGATTCATTCAGAAAAATTTGAAGAGAATGATGGTAATATATAGGTTTTTTTCCCATCTTATTATATGTTGCTACATTGAATAAGGGAGGAACTCATGAGTCTTGTTTTTGTTTGTCATGTACATACGCAATCAGTATTAGGTCGTTAGGATTGATGTCTGATGTTACTTTTAGCTTGAGAGTGATGCAAATTATTACTTTATTCCTACTTTAAAATAAAGCATATTAGGAAAATGAATCATCTGTTGTTACCGAGGAAAGATCTATGCAGTGAAAACTAAGGGCTATTATCTTTGGAAAATAATAATTTAATTTAATTTTTTTTCTATTTACCTCTCTACTTTAAAACAACCACTGGCAGGGTCAAGTTTTGAATTTTGGCTTACCCTACTCTCCAATTCATGGAGCTTTTCCATCATGCTTTTTCTGCAAGACAGGGCTTTGAATCTTGTACTTTAGGTTTTGAAAACAAAGCCTTAGTGCCATTTCATCAGAAAAGGAAGTTGGACGCCCATGAGTTGGGCAATTGGTTAAGGGCAAATGGAAATACTAGGCCTTGACGCCATGACCATATAGGATATCCTTTTCAGCTCAGGTAGTTTGGATCCTTGTATAATCCTAAGGTCTCAGGTTAAAGACTGTGCCTGAAGGGCAAAGTCCTTATTATAAATGTAGTCTGTGCTAGTGCTATAATTTGAGATAGTGTGAAAGCTTGACTGGATAAGATATCATGTTTCAACTCCTTACATCTGGACCTAAAGGTCTGAAGCTTGTCATACTGTTTTGTTGTGATACCATTGTTGATAATGTGCCTATGATCTGGATATGACTCTGATTTGCTAATGGCTTGTTGATGTTGCAAGTTTTTCCTATGCTTTTATGTAAGTGGTTATTTTGTGTGTAAAATTTCCATTGATTGGTGCATGAGAATACAGGTTGGTTGATGGTAAACCATCTTTGATTGACAGTAATTAAAAGTTGGATTCTTCTTCTCTTGGCTTCTAGATGGTGGAGGATGTAATGAAGAACTCTGTTTTCAAGAACTGGGTATTGCAAAGCTTCCTGGATTTCGTGAATGGCTTTCCATTCATCCAATCATCGAGAAGTCAGATGCTGGGGAAGAAGTGGATTCAAACACCAGGTCTCTTAAGATGATAATTTTTGCCCATCACCATAAAGTTCTTGATGGGATACAGGTCAGTACATTCACATATTGGTGCTTGTCCTTCACCAGATAGTAAATCTCTTAATCATTTGGTTGACATTGCCTTGGAATTTTCAATTGACAAAAGGACATGAAATTGAATTAAACTGTAAAATAAAATAAAATAAATTAATGATAGCATGGCATTTTTAAATTGTTAGCATGAAATCAAATACTCAAAGTATAGTTTCTTGTTGATCGGATTTCCTTCTCTAGTTTTGAAAGTGTGTACATTTAATTTTAGGCAAAAGTGTAAAATAAGGTAATCAACTCTCACACAATTCTCAATTAAGGTCACTAACTCTAATTTTCTCAACAAAGGTCACCATGTATACAAAATTCTCAAATAAGATCAAATTTAACTGTTTTTTTAACACATTAAATATTTTTTTTTCTCTCTCTCCTATGTTGTTCCTACATGGCCTGCCCCTTAGATTAATTTAATGAGGTGAATTTATTTATTTATTTTTGGTGAGTGGCATGTTCCTATACACTTGCACAACACTTTCAAGATCTTTTCAATGGTTTTATTACTATCAAAATCAACCTAGGTGCTCATTAGAGGCCCATTGATGTCTGGTTCTTCATGATGGAGCACCAGATTTGGTGGTCCATTAGGAATTCCCTAACTGTACTTCTTAATGAAGAAGAACCAGATCTTATTTCCTCTTTTGTTATAATATTATGATAATTATTTTTTTATAATAATTATGATTATTTTAATGTATAATTGAATTTAATTATAATTATTTAAATGTCTAATTGAATTTTTGATAAAATTTAATAAGTAAATTAAAACAGCTCAGAAAAAAGATGACATAGCGTGCTACTCTAATAGTGACAAAATAGGATTAATTTGATTAATAAAAACCTTTAAATATGATCTTATTTGAGAATTTGATATACATAATGATCTTACTTAAGAAACTTAGAGTTGGCAACCTTAATTGAGAATTGTGGGAGTTGGAGACCTTATTTTACACTTTTGCCTTATTTTTTCAGTGGGTTAAATTAGTCTTGAGGAAGCATTGGTTATTTAGAATCTAGATTATAACTTTGATACAAACACTTCTTTTTGTGGACAATGTCAGTTTTACTGTTTTATCATTATTATCATTATTTTTTAATTTAGGTATTCTAAAATCTCTCACTATTTGGACATGTCTTTCATGGGAATGCTATATCAATCCTTTCATCTAAATAAGGTTTAATGGTTTTAGTGTGCAACCAATGCATAAGTCTGATTATCACTTGAAGGCATATTGTTTTGGATATTCAGGAATTCATCTGTGAGAAAGGAATTGGTTTTGTCCGCATTGATGGAACCACACTTCCTAAAGATAGGCAGACAGCTGTACTGTCATTTCAATCATCAAATCAGGCTTGTATCAGAAATCCTTTTACATCTATTTTTCATTTCATTTAGTGAGAGGAACAGTTTGCTTTTTATCTTTTATTTTACCTAAGTCATTTTCCAGGACTGTCAACACTTATCACTTCAGACCCTTTGAAAGGATTAAATTTTATAGCACATGAAGCTTCTGCTTATACTCTTGAATAAGCTGTTTTGCAATAGAGTTTGCTTTTTGATGTTTTGTGTGTTTTCCATTTTCTGGTAGTCTTCATAGCTGATTGTAGTTTATTGGTCAAAGTTCTGATGGAATGAATTCCTTCTATTAACTTCTTTTACATATAGTTATCTTAGTGTCTACTCCAGTTGTAGATTCATCTAAAGAATCACTGTTTTTGTTCTGTTTGTTGATGCTTTTTTATTGATAAAATTGTCAATCTAGAAACTGCATCAATCTATTACCTCTTGTGGTCTTTGCTTAAATATGGACTTTAGGAGGCTCGTACTTCCTTTCCATATATCCTTTAGGTGTAGAGAGGGTTGTCTGAAGTTTTTATAAATACTGATTAACATGAGCAGACAAAAACAGTCTGACAAAATGTGCTACTCTCCTGTCAAGAATCTGGGTGTTGCCTTGTTTACCCATGTTTCTATATCGTGTACATGTTACTGGTGTCTGTTTCATAAATTTGCCTGTTGCTGACTTGTTCAAACAAAGATTTTACTGACTCATTGGTGTCTTAATCTATCAGGTTAAAATAGCAATAGTTGGTATAACTGCTGGGGGAGTTGGACTCAATTTTTCATCAGCGCAGAATGTTGTGTTCTTGGAGCTGCCTCAGTCACCATCTTTGATGCTTCAGGTGTTCAAATATTTTTAGATATTGTCGTAGTTAGTTTTCAAAAAGGCAATTTTTCTTCTGGTCTTATGTTTATTTAAAATATTTGATTTAGCAAGTTTTAGGTTGAATCATTTAGAGGAGTATGGTTGCACTAGTTTAAGAGCCTATTTGGTGGAGCTTTTGCTAAACTTGCTTTTTTAGCAAAAATTTCAAAATCTTTGTCTCTTATATTTGAAAATTTTTGGAGAGAATGTTTGCTTTTTAGCAAAATAGTGCTAAAATAGCAAGTTTAGCAAAAAGCAATGGATTGTTGCTTTTTGCAAAACTTGCTTAAAAGCAACTTTTTCCCTAAAAAGAAAATATTCCCTCCAAAAATTTTCAAACATAAGAGACAAAATTTTGCAATGTTTGCGGAAAAAGCAAGTTTAGCAAAAGCTCCACCAAACAGCCCCTAAATTATCAGTTTTCTAAGCCTCTAACCCTTCCCTACCCATCTGTTTTTGAAGGCTGAAGACAGAGCTCATAGGCGGGGGCAGAAAAGTGCTGTCAATGTATACATCTTCTGTGCAAAGGTACTTTCTGACATGTAACTCTTCAAATTTTGCCAACATTTATTCATCTTTTTACATGATTTGTGGTTTTTTTCACGTCAATAGGATACTATTGATGAGTCACATTGGCAAAATTTAAACAAGAGCCTAAGCCACGTTTCATCTACAACAAATGGAAAATATGATGCCATACGAGAGATAGCGGTATTTCTTCTCCTCTCACATGGAAAATGGAAAATACGATGCCATAACATGCCTGACAAATTTTGGTTTATCAATTTTTTTTAACATACTTCATTTCTAAATCTCTTGCCTTGTTGTTGATTATTCCTTCTTCAGCTTGAAATTTTTTATACAAATGTTCAATCCATTTTATGGAAGAATTTTTCAAGATGATTTTGTTTGACATGCTTGCTTTCACTTATTTATTATATTGGCCTTCCTGTAATTTTCATAAGAAAAATGGTCAGTCTATATTGAGTTTGGCCTTTCCGTTTTAGTTTTTCTGGAGAATTTACTTCATTCATTTTTACTAGTTATCATCATGTCTTCAGTACATGAAGGAGCTCAATTTTCTTAAAAACTTGACATGGATGATTCATGATTTCTCTTAATAATTTTCATGGATGGAACTCTTTACCTCACAGTCTGCTTCGGCTGTTGTGTATGTGAGGGAAAATATAGAGAAGTTAAATATGATTTCTTATTTGTTTTCTACTGATAACTTATAATGCTTTTAAAAGTTTTTAAATTGTACTCAATTCTCTGTTTTGGCAGGTTGAAGGTGTTTCTTATCTGGAAACTGATAGAAGTTCTGATGATCAAATTTTAGGCAAAGCAGCATATGATAAACCTTTTGTGGAGTTTGTGAAGTTACCAGGTTCCGAAGTTGCTGATAAAGCTGCTCAAATGAATGATGGAACTGCAGAGCAGAGTCAAACTGGTGGCAGAGATCTTCATAACATTGTATCTAATTTAACATTAGAATTGTCATTGATTTATCTAGGGTTCCAAAATATTTGGGCATGTTTGGCAGAATGTATTAGCGAACTTGCTTATAAGCAATTTGTTCTCTCACAAATTTAAAAATTTGTTAGAGGAAAACTTTAATTTAATTTTGCTTCCAAACTGACTTATAAGCGAGTTTGCTAATAAGCTTTGCTAAACATGGCTTTCTTCTCTGTTATCATTTTTTCTAGGCTTAGCCCCCTATTTTGCCTCCCAACTTATAGATTTTAAGGTCATTGTTGCCTCACCTAAAAATTTAAGGTTATTAGCCCCTTGACAACACAATTTGGGGAAATTCATCCTTGTGTTGACAGATTTGAGGCATGCTTCTCATGTGGGTGTTAGTTAGATGTCATGCCCATCCCATTAGCAACACATCAGCGTCCTCTCTCCTACCTGTGGCAATGAGCGAAAAATTCCTATCTAATATAACATAGGCCCCACTCTGTCATTGCCATTATGGCGCACCAGATAGGAGAGAGGATGCTGATTTGTTGATGACGGGGATGGGTATGACGTCTAACTAATGCCCATGTGAGAAACATGCCTCAAATCCATCAGTACAAAGGTGAATTTCCCCAAATTGTATTTTTGAGGGGCTAATAACCTCACCAATATTAAAATCTTTTGGAAATAGGGGGTTAAGCCTTCTTTCCTTTTGGAAATTAAGGTATTTGCTCCTAATTCCTAGAAAACTTTCACATTCTCCCTAATTTAATAGGTGATTTGGAGACGTATATTCAAAGTGGAATTTGTATCGATGCAGGGACACTCATTCCAACCAAAAGCAAGTGAAAAAGATAATGGCATGCTGGTTCAACAGCCAGAAGATGATTGCTTCACTAATCAAGTAGATTCTCTACGGTTTGAGGTAATCCATTGGTTAAATAGTTTTCTTCTTCGTTTTTTTTTTTTTTTTTTTTTTTTTTTTTTTTTTTTTTTTTAATTTCAGAATTTCTACCATCTGTAATGGAGTTTCTAACATGGACTGCTGGGAGGCAAGTTGTATTGACTTCGTGTTCCAAAAAGTGCACTTTCGGTGAAGGTGCAACCAGGTCTAATTAGTGTTGCAAAAATTGGGATTAGTTGCCAACTAATCTTGACTTGGCAGGAGGCAGTGGGACTCCACACTGCCTTACCCCCTGGGGGGTTGGTTGGGCCATAGTTGGCCAAGACCAAACTCTTTTTCTCAGTCTGAGAAAATTGGGCCATGATCCAAGAATCTACGCTGGAGAGTTTCTCAGATGTACCCAGTGAAAAAGTTTGCTGGTGTTGCAGCAGGAATGGTGGTGTCCTCATATGCTGGAGACCTGAAGTCAAACCACCAAACAGACCCAAACTTCATTCCAAATGTCGAAGGCACTGTTGCAAAAAGCACACCTAGGCACTGGGTGGTTGCTTGGCGCTAGCCACAGTGCCGGACTTTTTGGAGCATTATTAAAGAATATGAGATGTTTTTAGGCCCAATACATGAGCCAGTCCTTTTCTGCAGCAGTTTTTAATCTAGGATATATTTTAGGGCTAATATTGACATTTTTAATTTTTACTTTTTCTATTTTTTTTGCATTTTTGAAAAAAATAATAGAAAAAGAGAAAAATGCCTAGGCTCAATGCCCACCATCGCTTAGTGCTGGTTGAAGAAGGGCTTGTCAGCTTGAATGAAAAGATGTGTTTTAACCTTTCCCCCCCTTTTTTCCTTTTTATTTTGCAGTTTAATCCTTCAAGTTTTGTGAAACATGTTCCATTTTGTCTATTATTTTTTTATTTTTTATTTTTTTCCATTTTCCTGACTTTTTGACTTTTTTTTAATATAAATGTGTAACAAGACAACCAGGTGTGCTTTGGCATCCCTGGGTGCAGGGCAGCCCGGTGAAGGTGAGGCAACATACAGGGCACACACAAAAGGCACACCTCCACCTAGATGTTGCCTTGTTGGCTTTACCCAAGCTTACTCTACCTTCTGTGTTCTTAGCATTATTTCCTCAACTCAGCTAAGAAACTATTATTATTATTATTATTATTATTATTATTATTTATCCATTTAGAATTAACCTATAATAAATTACTAATTATTATTATTATTATTATTGTATTTGTTATAGCTTAGTTTCTAGCTTATTTTATTTTTTTATTTTTTACTATTTTCATCTATTCATGTTAATTTCTAGATTTTTTATGTAATTTGGCAGAGATCCTTTGTCCCTAGGTGCATGCCTTTTTTAAGCACTGCTTTTTCACTATGCAGTTATTAATTGATTCAGCAACTGTGTAAAGTGGATGCAAATGTTTAGTAGTACAAATTTTTTCCTCTACACGTCTTTTCTGTATACCTGTAATTTGAACAGTTTTTTTCTGTATATTGTATAATGATTTAGTTTCTGCTGAGTCCCAGATTTTGCAGCATTAGAACAATTTAACCCTAGAATTCTGATGTAAATCCATGTGTCTATTCCAAGGATTTTGAATGAGCTGGGAGTAAACACTACATCTTGGGTTTTTCTTATTTAAGTAGCTGTTTTTGAGAGCTTTAAGTTATGGAATTCTCTCCTGCAGATCTTTGCAACTTGCTTTTTGGGTCCTGATCTTTTTATTCAGTCTGAAATTTGCTTCGGGGTCCTTAGTTTCTGTTAGAGATTATGCATTTTGCATTATCCAGAGCATGCTTTGTTATTTCTTGGGAAACTCACCTTTCCCAGAGGTCAAAATGGGAATTATCCACCACTAAAAAACATCTTTACTTATATAAGTTATATTCACCAAATTTGTGGATTTAAATTTTAATTAGATTTCAAGTGCCATAAAGTTACAAGAAAATATAGTTTTTATTTTTTATTTTTTTCTGAAACATTGCTGCCTTCATCTCCTCTATAGGTAAGCCGATATACTGGAAGAATCCATTTGTATTCTTGTATACGAGGGACAGATTCAAGACCGACACCACTTTTTGAGAATTTCCGACCTGAGGAACTTGAGTCAGCAAATTTCCCAACTGCAGATTCTAAAAAACCAGTTTCTAATCTTTTTAAAAATGACTCAGCCTATAGGCATGCTCTGAAGGCATTCATTACTGAATGGCATAAACTAAGGCCCATCGAACAAAGGAAGTTACTTAGAAAGCCTCTTCAATTACCTTTATCTGTTGAATTATGCTATTTGCAAGAAAGCAGTAACCACAATAGGGGGGTATGCCTGAATCAGCTTTCTCTTGATTTTTTGCTCTACTCACTAATCTTTGACATGTGTATATATTGCTGATTGATGGAATTCCTTGACAACATGTACATAGGGACTGCTAAAAGGTGGAAGCAAGCGACGGACTACGCCTTTATATGAGATAAGCCTTCCTTTGCCAAAAAATTCTGTGTGGAAAAAGGTCCAACTATGTAGTGGCTACTGCAAAAAGGAGAAAGAATACACTCAAGCTTGGAGCCTAGCAAATGAACCACTCTGTAAATTCTGTCAAAAACCATGCAAGTAAGTCCCAATTAGTTCTCTTTTTCATTTTTGATGGTCAAGCCAGTTACATCACTTGTAAATACATGCATGTATATAAATATGCATATTTCTTTATGGGAAAAATCAAATAATATACATACATATTAGTGATCAGTTCCACTTGTGTGCATATTGGAATGGATATCACTAGACTCATCCGTCTTGTTTTCTTACATCAGTAGCTCTTTTGGTTTCAGGGGTGCAAATGCTGAAACACCTGAATATTTTGAGGATCTTTTCTGTGATCTTGAGTGCTATGAAGAATATCGCTTAAGAACCAGCAACAGATTCCTCCGACAGGTTTGTACATGATACTTTTAGCTTTGATTATTTTTGGCTGACAAGGAGAAAGATGAAAGTCTGGAATTTTTTTTTAACAAAAAAAGTCTTTTTGATTTTGGTTATTTACCTGGACCATTGTAAGTGACAACTTATTATTTTCAGGAACTTTTCCAAGTTGAGCATGGTATCTGCACAAATTGCCAACTAGATTGTCATCAACTTGTGAAAAACTTAAAGCCTTTATCACTGCAGAGGCGGCTGGAATATATCAAGAAAATAGCTCCTAAGATTGCCAGTCAGAAGAAGTTGTAAGTCAAATTTCCTAATTCCTACAGATGAACCTCTATTCAAGAAAAATAGCTACAGAAACAATGTCCAAGTGCTTCTGCATCACTGCTTGTAAAGGGTTCTATTAGATGTGAAAGTGCAATGAATAAGTTCTAGCCAAATAAGCACATTAGCCAGACACAGTGTAGAACCTCTCCTTAGAGAAGAGCTCACTATTACGCTTGTTTGCATAATTTTTCTCCATTTGCACTGTTTGGGTGTATTGGTGGCACAATGTTTTCTTGGAATCTAACTAATTTGTTCTGCAGGGTTAACAAGCTTGTTAATGATCCTTCTGAGGGCAATGCATGGCATGCAGACCACGTTGTCCCTGTTTACAAAGGTGGAGGTAAGAGATTACTGTTCAGGGACTTCCTCTCTATAAGACTCTTGTCTTTATGAATTCTTTATGAAGATGCATATGCAATTGGCTTTTGAACTGCTATTGGAATTGCAGGTGAATGCAGGCTGGAGAACATGAGGACTCTTTGTGTGGCCTGCCACAAAGATGTTACTGCAGCACAAAATGCTGAAAGACGAACAATGAGGATTAAAACAAAGAAAAAACTTGAAGCTATAATGAGTGACCTCAAAAATGATGAGAAAATGGAAAAGAATTCTGCTTCTGTAAAGGTATGCTGGAAGGATGGATGGGGTGCTAATTTTTCGCTGCTTATTCCTTGACCGTGGATGGGTACCACTAATGATAAGCAGCATATATTTAAGAAATTGGATGATGTATTGCCAATATTAAATCTTTCAAGCGAAAGTTATCAGGGGTGACTGCCAGAAGATCTTTAAATTAGTACAGGTTCTGCAATCATTAGTGAGCTTGTTCTGCAATAAATATGCACCTTTAGCCTCTGTCATGCATCTGCATCTTGAACTGTCTGTTTTCATCACATGGTAGATGCGAAGTTATTTTCTAAAATATCCCTTCAGCCCTACTTCCCTTTTTAAGCCAACTTGAAGTCAGAATTCTTTTGTTTTTAAGGATGCATTATAGGTTTATACAATGTGATTTAATTCACACAGGCTTTTTAATTTCAGGATGAAGGCCCCTCAAGTATATCAGAAGATATAAATGATGATGAACTTTTAGTCAAGGTTCCTGGAAGTTCCTATTGTGGGAGAGAAAGCCCTGGTACCCAAAGTGAGGGCTTGAATTCTTTAAAACTTGAATGATCAGGACTATAGTTTAGAGCCATCTGCATTTTGTTCTTTTTGTACATTGGATTGGCTTCAATTACATCCATTGTGTTCTTTTTGGGCAATATCAAATATGTAGCTTTTAAGGTATGTAGTTTTAACATTCAACGCTGTGTTCAAATTATAGCAACTTGTTGACTTGTCCTCTTTCTTGATTTGAAACCCCTGGACCAGCAGGAATTGTTGTACTCTTGTTTATAGGAATAGCCTTAAGAGGGATGCTTGTAGCTCACAATCAGAGTCCCTGTTGGAGGATTTCAATGATGTCCTTCTTTGTCCTGAATTTTGCTTGTTGTCAGGAAGAAAATATAGTGGCAGATCTCCAGGCACAGAAAGTGATGGGAGGAAACACAGGATTTGAACTAGGTATTTCTCTATCTGTACTCTGTATAATCTCCTGAATACATGCTCAATAATTGACTTATCATTTAGATTAGTAACAGGAAGTGCCACTGCAGGATTCTTGTCCTGAAACTCATTGATCGTTTTGTGTGTACCATTTTATGTATAGAAAATGATAGAAACCCATAACTACATAAATAAACCCGGAAAATTCAAACTTTCTTTTGTCATAGAAGTTTAAGCTGTGTTCTTCAGAGCATTAAACCTCAAGGTGGACTTCGAAATTGCTTTTTGACTGTTCGGTACTTTCTTAATGAATTGCAAAGATTTATGAGTTTTGGCTTTTGGGCCGCTGGAGACAATAAATCAAAGAACGCCTTGTTTCAGCCTTGGCTTCAATCATTTTCTTGATGGTTGTAGATGGTCTTCATGCCTTGATTGCTGAAGCAGAGAAGGGCGTGTTTGAGGGGGTTGAGATTTTGGTACGAGGGAGTTTGTTTTGAGAATATTTTGGCCGTAAAATGCTTCTTGCAATGGTTTGAGCTGTGTCAGGATTGAGTGTTGAATGAGTTATTTGAGGCCTGTGGGATTCTTAGTGAGTTAAAAGTAGTATGGGTTGGTTGGAATAAAGTCTGCCTTAGCCCAGGAAGAAAAAAAGAAAATGAAGAATGAAAAAGAATGTTGGGTATCGAAAAATTAATTAGAATGGAAGTATACCCACCGGTTTCTGCCTAGTGCTTGGCCTTACTCTACCTCACAACATAATTAGTTATTTTGATTTACGAAAGGCATACTGTGCTAATAAGGTTCTAAACTTTCACTTCATTTGTAATTAAGTTCCAAACTCTCCTTGTATTCAACAAAGGTATCAAATTTATTGCAATTCTCAAAGAAAGTCCAAATTGGAAGACTTTCGGGCCAATTAGCTAAAACTCTCTAAATAAAAGGGTTCCTTACTACTTCGTAAGAGTTTGAACTTGTGAATAACATCGCCTAAATTTAACTGCTGATGTAAGCAAACATCAGCATTCCGTTTTCCCAATTAAAAGTCCCGTCTAAATCACGCTGATGTTGGAACCTCGACCCTTTAACATAACTTGAAAGGGTCATTTTAGTACGAACCAGACCAGAGGGCCAATTGGTTCACCCCCAGCGCCCCAAGGCTTGTGGGCCACGCGGTCATTCTGACCTTCATACAAATGGTTGAAGGAAAATATGCCCTACAGATTCAACGCAAAGATAACTGTATCACGGTAAAATTGTAGAAAGTCTAGCTCCGGGCCTTCTGGCACAGAAGTAACCATACACTTGTTTAGCGTCAAAACTATTTTCTCTAGCCTCCAGAACTACATAACAACTCAAAATCTCACTTCAATCTTTCCCAAAAGAATCAATATTCTCACCTAAGAGAGCAATATATTGTTTCACAAATATTCCCAAGCAAAAGGGAAGCTGTATGAATTAATCAGAAAGGAGTTACATAACTAGAGCTATTTTGCTAGCAATTCTTTTCACTCAATTCTAGTTCTGCATCTACTGTAAGATCAGTGCCGTCTCAAATAACCATTGCCAGAAAGCAACTTATAACTGCTTCTTTTCTGAGCTAGCAGCAGCCTGTCGTTGCCTTTTCCTCCATGCTGGAATTTTGCCAGGGAAAGCCCATCTCAGCAATCTCTCCCATGAATAGCAGGACAAAAACATGAGAAGAGCCCACAGCAATAACTTATCTCTCAATCCCACAGGTAAAGGCACCAACTTCAACCAATCATTCAAGCCCCTAAACAGATCTGATGTTATAACGGTGAAGAAACCAACAGCAGCTCCTAGGGCATATAAGAAGGGTTTGTTTTCGGAGATGCTTTGGTTGAAAGGATGGCCCATGTAATTCACTGCAAAGGTAGCCACCTGGAGCATCATGCTAACCATGTAAGAGACTGTGTTTACAAGGTTAGGATGAAAGTCAGAGTCTGGCTCAATGCATTCCTCAGGCATGTATTTCTCAGCCTCTTTGACAGAAGAAATCAAGAAAATTAGGTGAAGTGCAAACTGTCCCATGAGAGAAAGGAACACATAGGAGCAGAAAATATTGGGGTGGGGCCGTTCAGCTGACAGTGTGGGAAGGGGGCGAGCATGTGAGATAAAGAGGAAAAACGCAGCTGTGAACACACCGCTGATTGTGGCCTGGATGTCACCAAGTTTGACGCCATCCAAATACATAACACTCAACACATATGCTGTGGCAAGGCAGTTAAGGCCAAGTATCTTGAACATCTGGAGGGTAGTCACCAGAGTGCTACGACCCTGACGGATGATGTCAGTGGTCGGAGCAACTGATGCATGTTTTGCGGTGAATGGTGATGCCATCGAGGCATCCCCAAGTTTCACAATGGGAGCTGAGCGACCATCACTCTCCTCATTAAGCTCATCCAGCATCTTTTTCAGCTTCTGCCGTTGCATTTCAGCAGCAGTCAGATGCCGGTTACCAGCTGCATGGTTACTAGAGTCTGATTTTGTGACAACTTTGCCTTTGGATGAGGCTTCTGCACCGTGACTGACAGCTTTGCCTGCTGCTTCTACTACAGGTTTAGATTTCTTTGACTTTGCAGGCTTAGAACTTTCATCTTTAGAAGTTTCTGTTAAGTTCCCACTTTGAGCTGGAGGCATGACATTCAATAGTGCAACACCTACATGGGCCTGGAAAGAAGTTCAGTATTAAATTCCACACTAGCTGGTTGTCTCAGGGCAAATGTCACAAGAACAAGAATGTAATTTATGAAAATGAAAAATCATAAGAATTTCTTTCTGTGTAACAGGAAGTACATTAGCAGTTTCCATTCCTTTGTCAAATACAAAGGAATGTCCGAGCCTTCTACCTGCCATCTTTCTGTATTTCAACCATACAGTTTATCGAAATGATCCCAACCAACAAGCTTACACAAGATAGTACTTCTTAAGTTTTAACACAGTTATGCTTAGCAGGGAAGAGTAGATTTCTTATCTATACTTTGCAGTTAAGACAGTGAATCACCATAGGCATATCAAAAAGTAAAAAATAAATAAAAATAAACAATGTTCAAACTAGAAAGGTTTATATGGAGCGGAGGACCCAAAATGAGTTTTAATCAGTAATCTTTCCTAGAGGAAAATATACCTGCTTAAGAGCTCCAACATCATTTGTCCCATCCCCACACATCAAAGTTATTCTCCCTACTGTTTTGAAAGTGGTCATGATTAGTTCTTTCTGCTCTGGGGCAACTCTAGCAAAAACCTGAAATTTAATTTTGCATACACATCATTAGATGAAGTGCTCATAAGAAACAAAATGAAAAGGAAATTATGAGTTGCAACCTTCACATAGGGAATCACTTGTAGAACAGCTGATGTCTGCTGTAACATTCCAATGCAGTCACCTCCAATACAGAGATCATGAGTCTCTGACAAAGCCTCAACCTCTTTCTCACTGAGAACCAGATACAGTTCTTACATTCTCAGTACAGAATTAAAATTGTAATTGCAATGGAGAGAATGAGCAAAGAAAAAGAGAGCTAGGTTTACACTGATTGAAAGAGCAAAATGAAAACTCTCCATTAAGGAAAGAAGGATGCAAGGAATTTTAAGATACAAGGTATTTTAAGATATGATGAAGAGCAAAGGTCAGTGCAAGTTCATTAGACAACAAACTCTCTAATTCTTAATCTTAAAAAAGAAAAAAGGAAAGAAATAGTGCAGCATGTGATCATAATAAGAGAAACTTTCTTTTTTTGATCAGTGAATGATAATTAGAGAAACTTGACCTGTAGCAAATGATCTCTGTCTCATCAGGTGACATCCATTCATATCCTTCACCACCCCTAGCTGGACCAAGAATTAATGCTGGTTTTGATACAATATGAACTTGGCTACCAACATGGCAAGCTGTCAAAGCTTGGTCACCAGTAATCATCACCTAAAATTAGAAAATTTTCTTTTCAGGAAAAGGAAATGTTTTCCACATGCTTTCCTTAAAAAAAAACAGAAGAGTCAACAAACACAAGGAAAAGAAAGGAGAAATGCGAACATATAAACAAGCCAAATAAGCACATGGGCAAACTAAATATGGAAATAAAAATGGCACAAAGGAATCTTCAGAGAAGGGTTATTAAGACGGGGAAATATATAGATGGGAAGGCTTTCAAATGATCAAGCAGTAGTTTCAGTAAAAATCACTGGGCTAACATTGAAGTCTGTACACTTCATTTTGAAGATCAAAAAATAACAATTTTATTTAGATATGCATACATCAGATGCCTCATTAGATTTCTATCAAATATTTCAGGGTTGCAGATGTATATAACATGAACATAAAAATGACATATAAATGCATAAAATATCTTCAAACAAAGTTTGGAAATCCATTGAAAATAGGAAACAAATTGATAAATTATATTTTGTTTGCATTTTGCTTTAGTTATGCATAAGTAGTCCACCAGATATTGAAAGATATTGAGGAAAAGATGCCACTTACCAAATCATGTGATGAATTCTTCAGCTCAGATAGAATAGCCGCTGAATCTGCTCTTATAGGACAGTTAAATACCTGAAATTTATATTTTGGAGCATTTCTCAGTAACAAGGATAGGTAGAAAAAACAAATACAGAAGAAAGGAATAAAAGACATTCTGCAAAATAATTAAAGTATTTCTTTCTTACAGCAAAACCAGCGAAAGTTAGGCCGCTCTCCACAATATCTCTATCCAAGTTCCTAGCTTCACTAACCTGCATGAAATTAAAAGACAATAACCAATGTAAGCATTGAAAACAGAAAGCAGAACAAGCTCACAAGGTTAAAAGATAAAAAGGTTTATGGTGTGTCAGTGATTGGCTAATAGCCATGTACACACAACAATTCCCAAAAAAAAATTATTGGCATTTTCTTTGTTTTCACCTCCACTTCCTATTCAAAGCAGGGAGTAGCTAATTACTTTAAGGACCAAGGTGTGATATAGAAATCAAATGGGATGGAAACAATACTGAATGAAAAAGAGAAGCAATCAAAGTTAAAAATATGTCAGCGCCAGAATCACTACAGACTGATGGTTCTTGTTCACTGTGATGGCCTCTGAACAAGAACCATGCAATGCATCTTTCTCATCCCAACTCTCAGATCACTGAATTTGTTTCTCAAAGAAAAAGAAAATGCCAGACTTGAAGTTTCGATAACTGAAGTGCTGCACAAGATTATTAATAAAAATAAACGAAGAAACAATGAAGCAATCAAAAACATGAAGACAAACCAAACATATATATATATATATAGAGAGAGAGAGAGAGAGAAAGAGATCCATTTACACACAAGTCTTACACATCACACTTACACAAAATCTTGACCATTCATCTCTCCACTTTCAATGGTTGAGATTTATCACGACTTTTTAGATGAAAATAATAATTATCTTTAATAAATGTGAATAAATCTCAACCATTGAAAGTGGAGAGATGAATGGTTGAGATTTTGTGTAAGTCTAATGTATAAGATTTGTGTGTAAGGGGATTCCTATGTGAGTTATTGTCATTGCCAAAAACAATCTCTGGCCTACAAGAGAGGAAAAATTTAAGCAAAAAACACATTGCCTTTGGAAAGAGGTAGATCAACAAAATTTAACATCATATACAAAAATATGGGAGAAAAATGCATGACTCATTGTGATTTCCAATCAATCTTTGGCTTAAAAGAAAAGATAAGAAATCAGAGCCAAAGGTATGCCTTTGAGGGGAAAATAATTAAGAATACTTACCATCATATCTGGAAGTGACTTAAAAGCAAGCGCCAGGACACGTGATCCTTGACGTGTATACTTCTTGTAAGTTTCAACATATGATGGAGGCAAATTAGTGAGTCTATCTTGAATGGTCTCAGGTGCACCCTACAATTACAAGTTCATTCCAATTAGCAAAGGTCCCAATTAAATTTGCTTCTTTCTCACTAGCAAGAATGCATGTCACAAACCAGAGGTAAGATAATATTAGCCAGTTAGGACATTAGGAAGAACCAATTATAACCAGTAACAGGTCTTGTGGTCAATAAATAAAAGAAAGGGGATAAAGATGGAAGGCAAAAATTTTTAACTTTCAGATTTGTAACATTTTTTCCAATTTTCTAAAGAAAATAATACTTCTATAATATAGGAACCAACAGTCCAGGACAAAACACTTTTTTACGCAATCCTCAAAAACAATGATGATAACAATAAGAAAAAGGAAAATTTTCCTTTCTGAAAAAGAGGAAGACAGATTGGGAGAAAGGTAACTAAGGCTTTGTATATATCTCTTGCGAAAACTCATTCTGCCAGCTAAATAAAGCTCCTTTTTTTTTTTTATAATATCTGAAAAAAGCTCTGGCCTCTTCTTATGCATAATTTTTTTAAAACAAATCTGAACATGCATCATTTACCGAGCGAAGCAACACTGTTTGCCATTTTACAACCTTACAATGACAAATAAAGACCACCCCATGCCCATATTAAAACTATAAAAATATAGAAATAAAATAAACAGCAGACCAACCTTGACAAATGCAAAAAATTCTTCCTGGATACGAGCAACAATTGCCATTCTTTTTAAGTGGGATGCAAAATGGTGCCTCTGAACTATCTGTACTGCATTCCCAGGTCCCCTGTAGTTATTATGAAATGACAAATGACCACATATAATCACACACTAAAATGGGAAAGGCTTGAGAACTCCTAGAACCTTTAAAAATAACAGAAAGAGAAAACAAGAGCACTAGAAGCATAACATGCACATGCAAGCATTGTGTACTTATATGAAAAATATGTGTACACAAATATGCACACGCTACACTAATTGTTGACCAAAATTGTTTTTGAGTTCAACAGATAAAGAGGAATTTTTCTTGGTTAGCATTTGTTATTTTATATAGTTTCACCACTTTTACATATGGATCTAATATTAACTTATTTACTTCTGTAAACAACCCTAGAAGAAAATGCAGGATCATTAACAAACTGTATAGCTGCACTAAAGAGAAACATACAAGGAATGTTAGATTTAAACTTGCTCAATAATATGTAACCAGTAAAATATAATATAGTCTCCAACATAACAAAGGGCATGGCCCATGGCCAAAAGAAATAAAACATATCATACAGCCAACTGACTTTTTCTCCATAAAATGCATCAAATTCTGTTAAATCTTTATTGGACTGAGAAAGCAGTACTATACATCTTTAGTAACTTAAAATTTCTACATTATCCAGCATTCAGAAGTTCAAAGTATTCCACATTACTAATTTTGTATTTCCATAACTGTGTATGGTTTACTTCAAACAAGAGACATGCCAAACAGAGAATAACAACAAAAAAGTAAACAATAAGTTGGTTAAAGATTTTAGAATTTTTTAGTTAAAAAACTCAAATTTTCCATGCTCACCAGCTTTAATTAATACTTTTTCCTTTTCTGGATAGAAAAGAAATGGCTACCAATACTTGATATAGAATCAGGACTGTACTTAAAAATGCCACAGATTAGGTTCCAGTAAAAAATTGAAAGAGAGTATAAAATGAATTAGACTTATAAAAAAAACTGCAGCTTACTTTTTAGGAACTGCCTTCTCATCGGATTTATAACTCCAGTCAATTCCTTTAAGTGCAGCTTTCTCAAGAGGATCACCAACCTTCAAACAAAATAGGACAGATATACAGAATTTTCAACCAAAAACTGCAAAATAAATGCATGATAAACATAAAGGGAAGCATCACTCTGTTATCTATCTGGTGCAGAAAGGCACATGAGCAGATTAATGCTTAATTGCACATGACAATCAAATTCAGGAAACACCACTGCACTATCATGCAAAAACAGAAAGTGGGCTTGGCATTCGTATCATAAGCCCAAAATTCCAGAACTGCATCCACACATGATGTCAATTCTTTTCATTTTTATACATTAGTTTTTGCAAGGACAACATAGTTGCGGAGAAAGGTGGCATTCTATACCAGAAACATCATATGGCTGATACAAAGAATTTCATAAATCGTACTCAATATTTGTATCATAAATACCACAATAGCATACCAGTTTGTTGTCTACAAAGACCAAAGCATGACAAGAAGCCAGAATTTCAACTGTGCGAGAAGGAACTTTAGTCATATCAGATTCTAGATCTACATTGTCACTCAACCCAGCAACTCCACAGAACTCCTGAAGAAAAAAGCAGAAAGATTAATAGATGAAATATGATATCAACAAATTATTAGTGAGCACACATCTATTATCAATAGTGGCATACCATGTCATCTGATGTCAGCGTCCCAGTTTTATCAAAACAACATATATCAACCTGTTAAGAAAAACAGCAAACCATCAAACATAAGATAATATAAAGAGATAGTCTGGCATAAAAGTACCTGAATGCACTACCAGGACCAAAAAAGAAAAGTAAAAGAGGAAAGTAAGAACAAAAAAGAGTATGTAAAGGTCTAAATTAGGGATGATAAATCTATTAACTATACATTCTGACAACCAAGAGCAAATTCCTAGTGCTGCCAAGCCCAAAAAAGTTGGGTAACTAACCTTTCCAGCAAATGGGATTCGAAAGGGTTCTGTACAAAATATTCCACGTCGTGCCAATGCAATCAATGATGTATTAACAGCTATTGATAATTCCATAGGTAGCTCAGGGGGGATCACAGAAGTAATGATGAGCGAACAACTCAGGAAAAGCTTATACCTGCTCCTTGTAGGATCCTCTAGCCCCTATATTGAAAAGTGCTCTCATCACTCATAACTAGTCACAAAATGTGATTCTGACATTCTTACTAAATCACAGAAAGAGGAATCACTTTACCTTTTTAAGTACATAACCAGCAGCAATTATGGCAAATACAACTAGAAATAAAATGAACAAACCACTTTCCCAGCTGTTAGCAGTAACCTAAAACATGTAAAAAAAAAGAAAAAGTTATTAAAAAAAAAAAAAATCAAATAGCTTTCAAACTCAAAGATAGAAATATCTGAGAAAAAAATCCATAAAAATCAATTACCCTCTCTGTAGAAAATAAAATTGTCCTCATAAGTTTTCCTTGACTTGTTTCAAAACCCGTACGTAGAACAACAGCCAAGCAGCCACCATCAGGAGATTTCAGAGGAAAGCTCTAAGACCAACACAAATAGCAATATGAATTAACAATGCAAGTGAACTTGTATCATGTAGACAATGTTTCTTGCCAGTTCCCATGGCCTACCTTATCTGCAGTGTGTTGCAGTACTTTGGTTCCACCAAACAAAATATGATTTTTATCACGCTTAGCTGTTAACTTCTCCTCAATTCCCCTTCCTGCTATTGAAACCTGAAGGAGAAAATTATAGCCTTTATGTAACTTGTGGAAGTGAGGTCATTTAACTGACATCAGCACATACTATTCTGCCAAAGCAAACAAAGCACATTCCTCATGGGACGAAAAAGGTTTAAGCATGAGATTCCCATATGGAGGCCTCACATTCAAACCTTGTGATGGGCAAGTAGGGACTTGGGAAAGCAAAGGATCAATCCCTATTGTATAACCCACAATTAGACAGCAGAAAAGACAAACTAATCAAATATTAAACATTATATACATATAGAAACACGCACAGACAAACCCCAGTATGAATTTATGTAGAACAGATAAATATGAAAGTAATTGAGAAAAACGGAATCACCTTCCATTGAGGAGTTGACTCGCCAGTGAGGATGGCTTCATTCACTATAGTACTTCCAGCTAATATAAGCATGTCTGCAGGTACAGTCTTATCTTCTCCATTTGGACCAGAAGAACGCCCAATGGAGACAACATCCCCAGGCAAGAGTTCAGTTCCAGAAAGTTTCACCCACCTGTAACTCCCAAATTTGAAACATAAATCTACAAAACTAAAACAGCACTTTCCAAACCATTTCAATTGATATTAAGTTATTAACATAACTTACTTCCCACACCGATGCACCATTAGGGTCTGATTATCCACTCTAACACGCCTCAGCTCACTTAGAGTCTTCAACCGACTTTTTGCCATAGTTGATTCAAACATAAACAGCATGAATAGGGTGAACAAACTGTAATACCAGTACTCATCCAAACACCAAAGGCCCACGCAGAAGACCTATGCATGGGCAAGAAAACAAGATAATGACAAAACTTTCGAATACAAAAATATGAGGGAAGTTTTAACAAGCCATGAGGAGAAAACCTGAAACACAAAAAAGGGCTCCATGCAATGCTCTTTCATTAATTTCTGGAAAGTAGGTTGCGGATATTCAAATCTGCACAATCAAAAGCATCCCATATTAAAAAGCAGACACATGACAACAAAGCCATAACAAAATGGTAAAGGTCCATAGAAAGTGTACTTTGACCACCAAAACAAGTAGTAAAACTTAAATTTTAAATATTGGGCTACCCCCATCCCCTCACCACCAAAAAGAAAAGGGAAAAAAGAACCTAAAATCAGAAATCTCCTAGCTATTAACCTTTATTCCGCACCACATTTTCTTCCCTTTTTTAGGCAAACCTTTGTATTTTAATGATACCTAAACTATGAGAGTGAAAGAAGAGCACTATTATGAAAGATTATTTGTTTTCCTTTAATGAAGATATTATCTTCTTCATTTTTCACTTTTAGAAGCCACATTTGACTTGACTTTGGTACCAAGTTCCAGAACCCAAATTAGTAGGCACCAGTACAAGAATTCAGGAAGATAGCAGCATCATAAGTATCAAAACTCATAAGTATACTGAAGTAATCCAAATTACATCAACAACTAAGTGGAGAAATTCTTCATAGTTGTAACTCACACGTTGCGTCCCCATTTTTCAGAGGCAGAGATAACTTTAGCTTCAGAGCCATGGCCAGTACTTCTTAGATAGTTGCCAAATGTTTCCTTGGTAGGATAAGGAAGCTTGCAGAAAGTGTCCTTCTCCTTAGAGTAGATGAAACATTGCTTCCTAAAATCAAAGTAAATCTCCTCCACCTCTGCTGAAGATGAAGAATTCATCGTCTGTGTAAAAGAAGTATTAGAATGCAAGAAAACAGCCTAGGCAGTTGGTAGGATACTGAAAGGAGTGTAAACAGAAGAGTGTCCCCTAAATGTCCATTTTATGATACTTCTACAACCTATATTCATCGACTCAATGAAAGTCAGTATTTAGATGAAATTCTAACTATCTTTTCACATTTTACAGCATGACTGAAAATTGCATCTTGTCCATCCCTCAGTTATCTTTCTATTTGGAAAACAATCAAATTGAGCATCAATTTGTAGAAATTAGACCTTTATAATAGGAATTAAAAGGAACTAGTGGGAAATGCAAAACGATTTAAATAAAATTCAAAATCTCAATAGATAATTGAAGAGGTAACCTTATGGCATCAACTGAAATCTGCACACCACACTGCTTGTGGTACTTTATCAGCAAAATCATAGATGCTTTAAAATAAAAATAAAAATAAAAAAAGACCTACCTTTTTACGAAAATGAAGAGGCACAACCTCTTTAGAGCCAGAAAATTTTGATGGGGTTATTTTACATGCATCAGCAAGGTAAATATCATTAACCTGAAAATAAAAAATAAAAAATAAAAAACACCTTTGCAGTAAAACCATCATAGTCTCACAGATTCTCAATCTTCCACAATTAACCACGAAATATCCACGTGACCATGTGTAAGCAATATTCATACCTTACCATACTGAACAACACATCTGAAATCTACAGACCAAGCAGTAAAGAGCCAGACTAATACGTGGAGCGCTGCAAGGCCGCCGAGGACAATGGTAGCATCCCCAAAGTCTATGCTAGGAACCACAATAGCTAGCCACAGTAGATAGAGAATAGCAAAAGGCCACACATCAAATCGCCATGCCCAGTGTTTCTTCCTCAGCAAATCAACTTTGTCTACTACCTTTCCTCCAACATGAAACCGCGACATCTCTAACTGCCACCTCAACACCCTATGCTATTCAGCTTCAAGGAACCAAAACAAAATTAATACATCAAAATAAAAACTCAGCAATTGTCCATTTGGCAACCGAGAAAGATTAAGAAAATTAAGTAAAATCATCAGCATCGCACTAATTGAAGCAAGGATTAACTTTATGATCTGTAATTACAAAACACTGATAAAATCTATTTCAGTTGAATCAAAAAATATTATGAACGCCAATCAATCGAAAAAAATATATATTAATGAAAGAGTACTCCTCTGAACGAAAAATCCTGAAGCAGATACATCGATAATTATGTGCGTGATGAATGAATGGAAAATCCGAAACCGTACCTGAATGAAGAAGATGATCGGAGAGATCTGAAACCCTAAAATATGACTGAGAGTATCTGGATTTCCTCGCCTTTGGTTAAAGCATTTCAAAACATGCGACTCTTGCTAGCCCCTTCTATTGTTTATTGGTTAAAACCCCGATTCAGTCCCTCAACTTTCATTTTTGGACTAAAACTACCCTCGAACTTCAAAAAGTACTAAAAAAATCCTTGAACTTCAATTTTTGGAACCAATTTTGTCTTTCCGTCAGTTAAGTGCTGACATGGCAAAATTTCCCGTTAACAAATTCAATTTTTATTAATATTAAATATTACTTGGAAATAAAACAAGTGATGTGGCATTTTTAATTATAAAAATATTGTGATTTGGCACCAAAAATATAATTTAATAAATAATTTTTTTTTCTTTTTTTCTTTCCTTTCCTCTTTTTTTCTCCTTCCCCTCCCCATTGGGTTCGAAAGAACCCAGCACCAGCGCCTGGGTTCCTCGAACCCAGGCCCTAGGTTTCGAACCCAACGCTTGGGTTTGAGTTGAACCCGCCTGGGTTTTTGTTCTATTTCCTTGTTGGCTTGCTGCAGTCATGCTTGAATGGGATTTAGAGTTTTGTGTGGCTTCTGATTGCTTGAATTTCCAGATTTAGTTACTATTGGTGTTGATTGAAGGGATATTGTGTTTTTTACATTTTCCTTTATAGATCTGGTATAATTTGTAGAGGAATTGATTTTTTGAATCAGATCTATTGGTCATTATTATTGTGCGAGGAATCAGATTTGAGTTCTATTAGAGAGGAGGTTTGGGGAAGAAGTAGATGGTGATTGGAATGGTAATAGATGATCGGAGCAATGAGGGATGACCGGAGTAATGAGGGATGACCAGAGTAATGAGGGATGATCGGTGCTGATTGGGTTACAAGATGAGGGATGACCGGAGTAATGAGGGATGCCAACTCATACACTTTTACATGTGGTTTTTCCATGTCATTAGTTGAAAAAAAAAAAAAAGCTTGATTTCGTGGCAACTTAACGTGCCATCTGGCACTTTCGTTGACGGAAGGACGAAATTGGTCCCAAAAATTGAAGTTCAAGGATTTTTTTAGTACTTTTTGAAGTTTGAGGGTAGTTTTAATCCAAAAATGAAAGTTGAGGGACTGAATCGGGTTTTAACCTTGTTTATTTGCCCTTTTTCTCTCTTTTTACCAGACTTTATTTTGGACACCGTGTCGATGCTTTCGCTTTCGCTTTTTGGATTAAAGACAGTAGACGTCCTTATACTATTGAATTTCGCTGATTACTATAAATTTATTACAAAAATGTTCATTTGAATCCTTTTTCCAATTAGGATCATGGGTCACGGTTTTCTTTCAAAAAAGAACTAATCTTTCTAAACTTACTTCTTCGTTTTTGGTTTTACAGTAATACTTGAGTTATAAAACTTATCATACCTAAAATACTTTGATAGCTTTCAAAATAACTCCAAAACAACACTTTTACAAATGTTTATTTTTTTTTAAACATCAATTTTGGTTCTTAACTTCAAGATTTTACACAATTTTTATTTATTGACTTTTTAATGCACTTTTTTAATTCTTTAATTATAAAAAATGTATTTTTACTTACTCAATTTAGAATTAAAAATATATATTTATATATATATGCGATAACATCATTAAATAGAAATTTTGAGTTTAATACTAACTTGCTAAGTACAACTTATGAATCTGTATAGATAAAAGCTATGTTTGAATAAAATGTATGTTCGAATAAAAAACCATTAATGATAAATGAAATAATATAAAATTTACAACTTTTCTAAGTAAAAATTTAAAATAATTTTAAAATGTCATCTGTTACTATCAGTTAACAATTATAGTATTTTCAAAATAAAATGCAATGGCTGCACTAAATAGAACCTAAAACTACATTATTTTGGAATTTAATGTTCAATACCACTTATAAATCAAAAATAAATTGAAATCGCATATAATGCAAAGGCAATGCTTAGTACTTGCTTATGCTCAAGCTCACAAGCAAGCTTGAGTTTGCACAAATACTCACAAGCTAAAGCTTGTGCTCAATCATTTCCAACTTAATAAATATTTGATGTTGACTCAAACTCAAATATTTAAAGTGACTTTGAACATGAGTACTCAATTGCCTTGCTCAACTTAATTTGACTTGACTTATTAGTAACCCTAGATCTAAGAATGAAAACATTTCAAGGATTAGAAGTGACTAAGGCCACACATGAAATTGTTAGGCCATACAAACTTCTGTTTTTTTAAACAGTTAGTTATAATATTTAAAATATCACTGATTTTTAATTCATTAAATAATAAATATTACAGTTATGAAAAATGATTTTAGGACAACTATTTTGTATTACCTCTTAATACAACCTGACATGTCATTGAAATAATTAATTTTTTTAATTCATATAAAACTCATGATATTGAATGCATTCACTCATTTAATAACATATGAAAGTTATATCAAAATGTGATATAAAAAAGTTGTCTCTATAACACCGCCCTATAATTATTAATTGGTTCTAGCAATCAAGCCAAATAAAATCAATATTTTAAAAAACTAAATTCAAAAATTTATATAACTCCAACAATTTGTTAAATGGTTATAACCAATTCCTATATTCGCATTAACGTGTCTCTTTAAAGGGAAATGATTTTTGTATAATCATTTTATCCCACCTTTTTGTACAATCTAATGTATCATTAAAATGATTGGCTCTTTTAATTTATGTTGAACTCGTGATATTAAATACATTCACTTATTTAATAACAAGTAGAAGTTATATAAAAAGGTAAAATAAAAAGGTTATCTATATAATACCACCCCTCTTTAAATAAAACACAACCAACTGACCAAGTCATGATAATACCTCCAACGACAATGCCCTTATTTAATTTTTCCTTTTCATTGTCTATTAAGGGGGGGTTTGGTTGGAGAGAAAAGTAAACCCTCAGTATTATGCCTTGAATGTTTTAGAGTTATTTACATATCTCCATACAAGGAGAGGCTAAAACCAACTTTTAACCCCTCACATTATAAAATTGATAAGTTATAGTCCTTAATTTTATAATACGACATTTTTAACCTTTTACCTTACAAAGTTGGTAGGTTTTAATCTCTCACCTTGCAAAGTTGATATGTTTTAACCCATAACCTTATATTATGACATTTTTAACCTCTTATCTGTACGAATTTAAGAAAATAGTCCTTACTTAATATCATGTTATAATATTCTATTAGTTCTATTAGCTGACTGTCAGTTTTGTTATTTGACTATTAGTTCTGTTAGTTGATTGTTAGTATCCATTAGCATTCCGTTAATGAAACTAACAAATAAAATTAAATTTAAATTTCATATTTTTTTATAATGGATAACAGTTAATTAACAAAACTAACAGAATGTTATAATCTGATGTTAGGTGAGGGCTATTTTCGTTAATTCGTATCGATGAGGGGTTAAAAATTATAATATAAGGTAAGGGGTTAAAACCTGTCAACTTTGTAAGATGAGGGGCTAAACTTACAAGCTTTGTACGATAAAGGGTTAAAACTATCATATTATAAGTTGAGGGGCTAAAACCTATCAATTTTGTAAGGTGAGGGGCTAAATATTGGTTTTTGCCCACAAGGAGAAGGGTAAAAATAATTTTTTTTAGGTTAAAACCTCATTTTGGTCCCTGAACTATTGTACAGACCCTCGATTTGGTCATTAAACTTAAACAATCCCTGATTTAGTCCTTACTGTTTATCATTTTTACCCCAATTTGGTCCTTCTGTTAATTTTTTCACGTTAACCGATGGAAAAAGCACTACATGGCAAAATTAAATGACACGGCAATTTCCAACTCATCTCACCCAAAAAAATTCTCATTTTTTACCCTTTTTTTTTTTTCGTTCCTTTCTTTCCTCTTTCCTTTTCTCTTTCCTCTACCATTGCTGGGCTCTTCTCTTTCCTCTCCTCTTTCTTTTTCCTTTACCATTGTTGGGTTCGATTGAACCCAGCGAATTTGCTGGGTATTGAACCCAACAGATTCGTTGGGTTCCATACCCAGCTGATCTGCTGGGTTCGATTGATACCTACTGGATTTGTTGGGTTACATACCTAACAGATCTACTGGTATCGAACCCAACAAATCGATTTGATCAATACCCAACAAACTTGCTGGGTATCCATCCTAGTAGAACCGTTGGGTTCTCTAACCTAGCAGATCTATTGGGTTATTTTGAACCCAGCAACTGTTGGGTTTCAAACCCCAGCAGCTTCACTGGGTTCTTCGAACCCAACAAGCCTCGAATGAGGCAATTTGGTTTGATGATGACGATGATTTGTTTGATGATGATTGTTTGATTTAGAATGAATGAAGAAGATTCGAGAGGGAGGATGCTGAGGAAGAAGATGACGGGCCTCTGTTGGGTTCAAGAACCCAACAGATTTGCTGGGTTGTTTTGGACCTAGCAACTGCTGGGTTTCAAACCCCAACAGCTCCACTAGGTTCTTTCGAACCCAACAAGCCTCGGATGAGGCAATTTGGTTTGATGATGATGATAAATTTTGTTTGATGATGAATGTTTGATTTATAATGAATGAAGAAGATTCGAGAGGAAGGATGTTGAGGAAGAAGATGCCATTGGGTTCTTTTGAACCCAACAAGCCTCAGATGAGGCAATTTGGTTTGATGATGACAATGAATTTTGTTTGATGATGATTGTTTAATTTAGAATGAATGAAGAAGATTCGAGAAGGAGGATGCAAAGGAAGAAGATGAGGGTAAAATTGTAAATTTGATGGATTGAATAATTATATTTGTTTGATTAGGTGGCAAAGTTTTTAGCCACGTCATTTAATGTGTTAAATATTTGGACATGTCATTTTTATTCCATCAATTAACAGGTCACCCCAGCAAAAATGTAACGGAAGGACCAAATCAGGGCAAAATGATAAACAGTAAGGATCAAATCAGAGATTTTTTAAGTTTAGAAACCAAATCAGGGGTCCATACAATAGTTCAGAGATCAAAATGAGATTTTAACCTTTTTTTTACATAATTTCTAACAAATAAATTCTTCTTCTTACACTTTTTTTATAGAAAAAAGTTTCCCCAACTTCCTCAATGTGGGACCCTCACTTCATAGCTACCCTTATATCTTTTCCTATGTAAAAATTAACAATCTAACAAAATAAAATTTTATTATAAACCTTATGACTTTTAATATGGTATTTTTCTAATCAATTTCTCCCATGAATAACAATGAATAGCAAGAAAGCTTAGTAAAAATGCTGGCTGCCCTCTTAAAATGTTTGAGGAACTTGTTTAAAAGTCCACTTTCTAGTTAATATTTTCAAAAACCAAATGTTAAATTAAAAATTTTATCAAAGTAAATTATACATATTAAGTTTTATATTGATTTAACATATTTTTTGCAAAAAAAAAAAAAAAAAAAAAAAAACAACACTCGTAACTTTTTAATAAAAGAAACAATCTAAAATTGACATACATAATCTATATGAATGAAAATTTCAATTTAACAATTGATTTTACAAAATATTTATTAAAAATTGAATTTTTGACAAGTCCTCCAAAGCAAATTTGAAAGGACAACCTCCAAAACACTTTTCCCATAACAAGAACTTCTGCAATTTGTAGCACAAAGTAAAATTGCAGAAAGTTTAGTTCAGGGCCTCCTAGCATGGAAGTATCCATTCACTTGTTTCGACATCAAAACTATTTTCCTCTACCCTCCAGAACTAAATAACAACTCAAAATCACACTTAAAGCTTCCTAAAAAAATTAAGGTTAAATACCCTTTTTGGTCCCTATACTATAGGAAAAAGCCCTTTTTTGATTCCTATACCGAAGAAATCCCTTTTTTAGTCCTTATTGTTCATAAATCCGGCCCCTTTTTGGTCATTCCATTAATTTTTGCTCACGTGGCATGTTAACTTAACTGAAACAGTTGATGTGGATATGCCAACATGTAAAAGATCCTTACGTGGACTCCAGGTCATCCTCCAAGTAGACTCCACGTCACCCTTCACGTGGACTCCACTTCCTCCGGTCTTTTTTTTTTTTCTTTTTTTCCTTTCCTCCCCCCCTAAGCGAATCTAGACTACCCAAGAGCTTGGGTTCGCAAGGAACCCAGGAGCCTGGGTTCTACACGAACCCGCGAGCTGGGTTCCCCGCGAACCCGTGAGCTGGGCTCGTCGCAGGCTACAGAGATGTTGCTATAGAACTTGGGAAAGAATTGGTGAATGTTTCTCTGTTTTTGCTTTGTTCTTGGTTTGTCTTGGAAGTGCTTTCTCTTTGGTTTCTCCTCCGGTTTATTTTGATTTTTTCAAAGGGGTTCTTTTGCTGTTTGCTTCCATCCTCTGTTTTTAGAACAAATTCAACTTGTGTTGAAAGTTCTTTCTTTTCTCGTTTCATTCCGCAATCTACCTGATGAATCTGTTTTCGATTACCTTCTGAGTGTTTCTTGTTTCAAAATTTCCAATCTTTCTAGTTTCTATTCAGATTTTTAAGTTTTCAACGTCATTTCTAGACTAAACTTGTTTCCAAGGTCCAAACTTTTTTAAGAAATCAAATGAGATGCCTTTTAAATCAAACATGTTTCCAAGGCTAATACTGGGTTTTCCTCACCTTTTTCCGTTGAAAGGTATCAAGAAATATTGATCTGGTATATGGAAGAGGCAGTATTGGTTTGATGGGCTTGGTTTCCCAAGCTGTTTATAACGGTGGCCGCCATGTCCTTGGGTGAGCATATTCCTCTCCAGACTTATCCTTTCTTTACCATTTTCTTTTTCATGAACATTTAATCAAATAGGTTTGTTTTGCTTTGATTTCCATCTTAACTTTCTGTCATGTTTCTGTCTGTAGAGTGCTCCCCAAGACACTTATGCCTAGAGAGGTATCACCTTTATTCTATCTATACCCCAATTTTGTATTTTATCAAGTTTTCAAAATACAATTTTTTGGTGAAAACGGAGCATTATCTACATCTCTACAATTTTTTGGTTGCTAATTTTAGTGATGATTTTAGGCAATGCTTCATGTCTATGGTTAGAGATTGAGTTGTTGAGGTGAAAGATATTTTCTTTTGAGTTGGATATGTGTCTTTTGTTCCAATTCTTTTTAAAATTTCAGGATGCATTCCATGATATACAGTAATATATGAAGCCTGCGACGAACCCAGGCTCGTGGGTAACCTGCGACGAACCTAGCTCGTGGGTAGCTTACGACGAACCCAGCTTAAGGGTTCGCGAAGAACCTAAGCTCTTGGGTAGCTTGGGTTCGCCTATGGGGTAAAAGGAAAAAAAGAAAAAAAAAATGGCCAGAGGAAGTGGTGTCCACATGGAGGTTGACGTGGAGTCTACGTGGAGGATGACATGGAGTCCACGTAAGCATCTTTTACATGTTGGCATATCCACATCAGCTGTTTAAGTTACGTTAACAACAAAAATTAACAGAAGGACCAAAAAAGGGCCGGATTTATGAACAGTAAGGACTAAAAAAGGGATTTCTTCGGTACAGGAGCCAAAAATGGGCTTTTTTCTATAGTAGAGGGACCAAAAAGGGTATTTAACCAAAAATTAATAGTTTCACCTAAGAGCAATAAAATGTTTCCCAAAAATTCCCATGTAAAAGGTAAGCCGTATGAATTAAAAAAATAAGAGTTCAAAACTACAGCTATTTTGCTACAATTCTTTCCAATTAATTCTGGCTCTACATCTATCGTAAGATCAGTGCTGTTTTCAAATAACCATTGCTAGAAAGCTAGCTGAAATTCATCCGTTTTCAATTCCTTCATACCTGCTTCTTTTCAGAGCTAACAGCAACCTGTCGTTGCCGTGTCCTCCATGCTGGAATTTTGCCAGGAAAAGCCCATCTCAGCAATCTCTCCCATGAATAATAGGACGAAAACATGAGGAGAGCCCACGGCAATAACTTATCCCTCAATCCCACAGGTAAAGGCACCAACTTCAACCAATCATTCAAGTCCCTAAATAGATCTGATGTTATAATGGTGAAGAAACCAACAGCAACTCCTAGGGCATATAAGAAGGGTTTGTTTTCAATAATGCTCTGGTTGAAAGGATGGCCCATGTAATTCACTACAAAGGTAGCCACCTGGAGCATCATGCTAACCATGTATGAGACTGTGTTTACTAGGTTGGGATGAAAGTCAGAGTCTGGTTCAATGCATTCCTCAGGCATGTATTTCTCAGCCTCTTTGACAGAAGAAATCAAGAAAATTAGATGGAGTGCAAACTGTCCCATGAGAGAAAGAAACACATTGGAAAAGAAAATATTGGGGTGGGGCCGTTCAGCTGACAAGGTGGGAAGGGGGCGAGCATTTGAGATAAAGAGGAAAAAAGCAACTATGAACACACCGTTGATCGTAGCCTGGATATCACCAAGTTTGACGCCATCCAAATACATAACACTCAACACATATGCTATGGTGAGGCAGTTAAGGCCAAGTATCTTGAACATTTGGAGGGTAGTGACCAGAGTGCTACGACCCTGACAGATGATGTCAGTCGTTGGAGCAACTGATGCATGTTTTGCGGTGAATGGTGATGCCATTGAGGCATCCCCAAGTTTCACAATGGGAGTTGAGCGACCATCACTCTCCTCATTTAGCTCATCCAGCATCTTCTTCAGCTTTTGCTGCTGCATTTCAGCAGTAGTCAGATGCTGGTTACCAGCTGCATGGTTACAATAGTCTGATTTTTTGACAACTTTGCCTTTGGATGAGGCTTCTGCATTGTGATTGACTGCTTTGCCTGCTACTTCTACTCCAGGCTTAGATTTCTTTGAATTCTCAGGCTTAGCACTTTCATCTTTAGAAGTTTTTGAGTTCCCACTTTGAGCTAGAGGCATGGCATTTAATAGTGCAACACCTACATGGGCCTGGAAAGAAGTTCAGTATTATATTCCATGCTGGTTGTCTCAGGGCAAAATGTCACAACAAAAAGAATGTAAATGAAAAATCAAAATCATTTCTTTCTGTGTAACAAGATATCCATTAGCAGTTTCCATTCCTTTGTCAAGACTCAAGAATACAAAGGACTAAAGGAGAAGGGAGGGCTTCATAATGTCCAAACCTTTTACCCACCATCTTTCTGTATTTCTTCCATCCAATTTACTGATATGTTTACAAATCCCAACCATCAAGCTTCTGGCTAACGCATGGTTACACAAGATAATCCCTTTAAGTTTTAACTCACCAATGCTTACTAGAGTAGATTCTTATCTCTACTTTCAAGTTAAAAAAGTGAATCACTGTTGGCATATAAAAGTGTAAGAAATAAATAAAAACAAATGATTGAACTAGAAAGCTTGATACGAAGGAGGACCCAACATGAGTTTTCATGAGTAAAGACCCTTGAAGAAAATTTACCTACTTAAGAGCTCCAATATCTTTCGTCCCATCCCCACACATCATAGTTACTCTCCCTATTGTTTTGAAAGTGGTCATGATTAGTTCTTTCTGCTATGGAGCAACTCTAGCAAAAACCTGAACTTTAATTGCATACACATCATTAGATGAAGTGATCATAGGAAACAAAATGAAAAGTAAATTATGAGTTGCAACCTTCATATAGGGAATCACTTGTAGAACAGCTGAAGTCTGCTATAACATTCCAATGTAGTCACCTCCAATACAGAGATCATGAGTCTCTAACAAAGCCTCAACCTCTTTCTCACTGAAAACCAGATACCTTTCTAACATTGTCACTATAGATAAGGACAATTATAATTGCAAGTAGAGAATGAACAAAGAAAAAGAATGCTAATTTCACAATTTCAATATAGCATATATAGATAGAAAAAGCAATAGGAAAAGTTCACATTAAGGAATCAAAGATGCAAAGAATTTTATAACATGATGAGAGCAAGTTCATTAGAAACCAAACTCATTGATTCTTGATCTATTAAAAAAAAAAAGCAGCAAAGGAAAGAAAAAGTACAGCCTGTGATCAATTAGAGACTTTCTTTATTAATCAGCAAATGATAATTAGAGAAACTTGACTTGTAGCAAATGCTTTCTGTCTCATCAGGTGACATCCGTTCATAACCTTCACCATCCCTAGCTGGAGCAAGAATTAATGCTGGTTTTGATACAATATGAACTTGGCTAGCAACATGGCAAGCTGTCAAAGCTTGGTCACCAATAATCGTCACCTACAGTTAGAAAATGTTCTTTTAAGGAGCAGAAAAATGTTTTTCATGTGCTTTCCCCAAAAAAACTTTAGAGTCAACAAATACAAGGAAAAGAAATTTTTAATAAAAAAGGAAGAAGGAAGAAATGCAACCAAATAAACAAGCCAAATAAGCACTGGCATGCTGAATATGGAAATAAAATGGGCACAAAGGAAACTTGAGCATATGTAAATCATACACCATCTAGCAAAGCAAACAGGGACAGGCCAAATTAGGGTAGGCAGCTTTACAATAACTATCGGTGAGGAAAGGTTATTTAGAAGGGCAAAGACATAAATGGGAAGACTTTCAAATAATAAAGCAGGAGTTTCAGTAAAAATCTCTAGGCTAACATTGAAGTCTGTAAGTCTGTACACTTAAGTTAGCGAATTGAAAAACAAAAATCTTATTCTACATATGCATACATCAGATGTTTCGTTAGATTTCTAGAAAATATTTCAGAGTTACATATGTTGAAACAATCCAAGCCAAAGCTGCCTTCAAAAGCTTAAGCTCAAGTTGTTAGTGGTGGTTGGTCTCCGCACTTATATACCACTCATAGTCACACTTCCATCCCAACATGGGATTCAGGGTGTCACATATGTATATAACATCACTATAAAAATGTCATTTAAATGTCCAAAATATTTGGAAACCCATTAAAAATAGGAAAAAATTTGATAATTTCTACTTTGATTGCATTTTGCTTCGATGATGGATAAATAAAAGATATCAAGAACTAGATACAACTTACCAAACCATGTGATGAATTCTTCAATTCTAACAGAATAGTGGTAGAATCTGCTCTTATAGGACAGTTAAATACCTGAAATTTAAATTTTGGAGCATTTATCAATAACAAGAGAGTTAGAATCCACTTACACACATCACTTATCTTTAAAAAAAGACAATTATTGATCTCACCACTATAAATGGTTGAGATTTATCATGGACTTTTTAGATAAAAAAAGACAATTATCTTTAAAAAAAAAGATAAAAAAGTGATAAATCTCAACCATTCATAGTGGAGAGATAAATGGTCAAGATTTTGTGTAAGTGGTGTATGAAAGTTGTGATATTTGAGTACTTATCTGCAATTAGTTAAAAAAAAATAGGTCCTTAATTGCATTGAGTTTAAAATTAGAGTTCTTAATTTCATCTAGAATTAGGGACTAATCTGTAGCAATTGTTAATTATAGGTTGCATGTTATTTTAACAAACTGTAGTCTAGGTGTCTATCTTAAGGAGAGATAAGTAGAGTCCAGGTGTCTATAACCCGTAAGAGTCAATGACAGGTGTCTTGATGAGAAGTTGGCAAAGTGGGGAGCAATTAAAATCGCTTGACTGGAAGTTTTGAGCCCTATAACTGAACTAGTCATTTTTTTGCATTTTTCTTTCTAGCTGGAACAAAAGGGAAGGAGAAAGAAGGTGCAGAAATGCTGGGCAGACTTGGAGATTCTTGAAGAAACTCTGTCAAACCCAGAATTTTGAACAAGTGTGTGGGGTAAGTGTGATTCTTAACTTTAAGCTTAGGCTATCAAACATAAAAAGAGGAAGAAATATACGATAGATAGAGTATGCAAAGAAAATTATGATATCACGGTTCAAGATATACAACATAGAGATTGCAATAAGTAAAGTTGGATTTAATTAGAATAACCTGCACTAGAGCCAATTTCTTAGTGAAATTAATTGTGGGGACAATAAGAATGAGATTTAAACTAGACTATTAAGGTTTGGAACTAAGATTTAATACATTTTAATGAGTTAAATTCTGAAATTTTCATGTTATGCCTATTTTCTTTGTGGTTCTACAGACTACATTAATTGTTGAACATGTAATGCATGTTTCTATATGGTATATGTTTCTGTGCTATAATTTCTTTAGAACTATGGAGAGTTTCGACCCCAACTTTGGCTTAGGGGTTAGATCAGTGAACTAGTGGACCTCTACACAGTAGGTAAGTGCTATGACTAGCTCTAGCACCTAATGTGAGTGCATGCACATTCAATGGACTTAATTCTATTTAATGTGCTGTCTTGTGAAATTGTTCTGTAGCTAATTGTCTAAATTTGTAGTAAAACCAGTACTATTAGAAACTAATGATACTTTTTTGCATAATAAACTAAGTAAAGATTATTAGCTTAACTTATAGTTAAGAATTATGCTTATTGGGCTATGAGCTCATGGAGTTTATTCCACCATTTCAGATAGTAGCAGTGACGAGTAGCTACTATTTCCTAAGACTTTTGGTGGATGTCCTATGCTAATAGTTGGTAGTGCATCCAAGTAGTCAGTAAAACAAATCTGTACCTGCCTAAAACTATGGTTGGCTTTGAAATTTCAATATATTTTGTACTGATCTTGAGCCTGGGAATTTTATATAAAATAAGCATTTTGATCCTATAGATATATATTTATATTTTATCTTGTGCACTCTAAAATTTCTCTCCAATAGCTACACTAATGTTATACTATTAATTTTCTGTACTATCATTTGTATTTTAACCTTGAAATGACAAAATTTTAAACCACATACCTATTTCAAGAGAGCATTTGAATTAATATTTTCTGCAAGACATTTCTCTATTTGATAAACCTTTAGTAAAGGTTTATTTATCAAAAGAGGAAAGTTACGATAGCATTGTGTGAAAGTGGATCCTAACTCAACAAGAATAGGAAGAAAAACAATAGCATAAGAAAGGAATAAAAGAAATAGTGATATAAATTAAAGTATTTCTTGCTTACTGCAAAACTACAAAAAGTTAGGCCACTCTCTACTACATCTCTATCCAAGTTCCTAGCTTCACTAACTTGCATGAAATTAAAGACCAAAAAACCAAGAAAAGCATCAAAAACAGAAAGCTGAACAGACTCACAAGGTTAAAGATAAAAAAATTTATTGTGTATTGGTGCTTGGCTGATAGCCATGCATGCAAAACAATTCCCAAATCTATAAATGTTGGCACTTTCTTCATTTCACCTTTACTTCCAATTCAAGTGCAAAGACTGGTTGAATACTTCAAGGACCAAGGCGTCATATAGAAATCAACTGAGATGGAAACAATACTTGAATCAAAAAGAGAGAAGCAATCAGAGTTAAAAATAGGTTAGCACCCAAAATCACTAGACTGTGATGGCCCCTAAATAAGAGCCATGCATTTGCATATTTCTCATCATCACCCTAAAATTCCTTCAACAAATTTTCTCACAGAAAAAGAAAAGGCTATACTTGAAGTTTGGATAGTTGAAGTGGTGTAAAAAAGCTCATAATAGAAACAACCAAAGAAACAATGAAGAAAATATAAAATGCAGACAAACCAAATATTTAAAGAAAAAACAAACTATGTAAAAGAATCCTTCTCTAGAAGGTTATCATTGGAGACATGAGATCAAATGTATGTGAGTCATTGTTATTGCCAAACCATCTTTGGCATACAGGAGAAGAAGGAAAAAAAGAAAGTGCTACCAAAAAGCACAATGCCTTTGGAAAGAGGTAAACGAAAGATATGCCTTTGGGGTGAAATAAATTAAAGAATATTTATTTACCATCATATTCGGAAGTGACTTAAAAGCGAGTGCTAGAACACGAGACCCTTGACGAGTATATGTCTTGTAAGTTTCAACATATGATGGAGGCAAATTAGCAAGTTTATCTTGGATGGTCTCAGGTGCACCCTGCAATAACAAGTTCATTCCATTTCCAATGAGAGAAAGAAAGTCCTTCTAATTAAATATCTTGTTTCTCAATAGCCAGAATGCTTGTCACAAACCAAAGATAAGATATTACAAGCTAGCTAAGACATTAGGAAGAACCAATTATATGCAATAATAGGTCAATAGATAAAAG